TCCGCCGTCTCGTTGTCATCATTCCTTTGGATTTAAAACTTTTAGCAAGATGATTTTGCGCAAAGAAAAAACGACCTTGCACTATAATTTGTATTTGTATTTACAGTGATGCACTACACTGTTGAGATAATGTCCCGTTTTATTTATTACAGACTCTGAATGGCCATGGTTACCGATGCCTTGGGAATGAGAAATAAATGCAATCATCGTTCTGTTTTCAGCCATTTTTATTTTACTATTTTATGTTTGATAAACTTGAAAATAACTTTTTACTGTATATGATTATATATCTATAAAAATATATATATATTTACACAAATATATATATATATAATGTCAATGTATAAAATATTTTCTTTCAATATTTATTACTGTGAACATGGTATTTACACTTTGTTACATCTTTCTTTTTCATTTTGAGACAAAGGTTAATGTATTGAGGACCATTGGTTGAAAACACGATGCCGAATTTTTGATGGACTGTTTCACTATTTAACTTAATTCTTTTCTATATGGAGAAATAAAAGCTTGATTTATTGCTTACATCTTTAACACGTCTCTTCTCATCTGTTTGTTCTCGTCATTATTTTATATTTTACTATCTAACGTGTGAATGAAAGAATACACACATTAAGCTGAAATGAACCCTGTGCAGAGAGGACGTTTTATGGGTCACTTTCTGTGCTTTATGGCATCATCCGACAAATCACATGACATTTCTGTACTTTCTCCACTGGTCTCAGATTCTGTCAGCATGCGAAGAATCTGTAGGTCTGAGAAGTGCATGACATTCACATAAGTCAGAGCTGGGAGAAGCACTCGGAGCTTGTACTTGAGTAAAAGTAGAAGTACTCAGGTCTGGTACTCGAGTAGAAGTACTCAGGTCTTGTACTTGAGTAGAAGTAGAAGTACTCAGATCTTCAAATCAAATCAAGTTTTATTTATAAAGCACATTTAAAAGCAATTTTTGGTCGAGCCAAAGTGCTGTACATGTAATAAAAACACATTACTACAGACAATAGACAATAAATTACAACAGATATATAAAAGAACACAGAGAATAGTCTGGAGTCATGCTCCGCTCTGACTAGAAGGCCAGGGAGAAGAAGTGTGTCTTAAGTGTAGATTTAAAAATCTATGTACTTGAGTAAAAGTAGAAGTACTCAGATCTTGTACTTGAGTAAAAGTAGAAGTACTCAGATCTTGTACTTGAGCAAAAGTAGAAGTACTCAGATCTTGTACTTGAGTAAAAGTAGAAGTACTCAGATCTTGTACTTGAGTAAAAGTAGAAGTACTCAGATCTTGTACTTGAGTAAAAGTAGAAGTACTCAGATCTTGTACTTGAGTAAAAGTAGAAGTACTCAGATCTGGTACTTGAGTAAAAGTAGAAGTAATCAGATCTGGTACTTGAGTAAAAGTAGAAGTAATCAGATCTTGTACTTGAGTAAAAGTAGAAGTACTCAGATCTGGTACTTGAGTAAAAGTAGAAGTACTCAGATCTTGTACTTGAGTAAAAGTAGAAGTAATCAGATCTGGTACTTGAGTAAAAGTAGAAGTACTCAGATCTGGTACTTGAGTAAAAGTAGAAGTACTCAGATCTTGTACTTGAGTAAAAGTAGAAGTAATCAGATCTGGTACTTGAGTAAAAGTAGAAGTACTCAGATCTTGTACTTGAGTAAAAGTAGAAGTACTCAGATCTGGTACTTGAGTAAAAGTAGAAGTACTCAGATCTTGTACTTGAGTAAAAGTAGAAGTACTCAGATCTTGTACTTGAGTAAAAGTAGAAGTACTCAGATCTGGTACTTGAGTAAAAGTAGAAGTACTCAGATCTGGTACTTGAGTAAAAGTAGAAGTACTCAGATCTGGTACTTGAGTAAAAGTAGAAGTACTCAGATCTTGTACTTGAGTAAAAGTAGAAGTACTCAGATCTTGTACTTGAGTAAAAGTAGAAGTACTCTTGTTCACGAGTCAACATTTGTGGATGTGGAATCAATAATACAGTAAAGTAGAAGACCTTGCACTTTTTGAGTAAATACTGACTACTTGAGTCGGAGTAACGCAAACTGCTTTTATTGACTTTATATCATCAGTCAGATGAGTGTTAACACAGACTTAGTACATCTGCTTCTACATGTCACTTATCTATTTAAAGTATGAAACCTTATTATTAAATATCCTGACTGTCAGCACGAGGATAAACATAATCACCTGCCATCTTACAAACACAGGATTTGAAATCCCCTCTGGTATTTGAAGAACAATGGAGCAAATCTGACACTTTAATGTCCCATGAATGAGGATTTCGATGCACCTTGCTCAAAGAAAAAAGTCATAATGCACACCCCCTCCTCCCACTCATACAAGCACCCTCTGGTCAAACACAAGCAGGCTATGCAAACAGATGGTAGGCCGTGATTTGCACTGTTGTAGCTTCATGCTAATTGGGGGGAAGTGTAATGACATGAAAGTTTGAAACAAGAAAGTGTTTCAGTCAGTGGCTGACTGGATGCCAGCCCCAGCAGCACTCTCAACTTGTTGTTTACCGGTTCATTTAGAAGTCGCTTCAAAGGTTCAACATCCTCTTTCCAGATGAAACAAAGGGCTGTGATGTTATGCACGCAAAGAAGGTCAACTGACACTGGTGCAGTATGGAGGTGCTAGGGGTTGTGATTTTGATCAGCTTTTCATGAAGGGAGCTGTTTTACTAATTTATGAACCCCTGCTGAGATCAAAGAAAAGACAATGGCTGGGATTTTTCCCTCAGCCTGATGATTAAAAATGCAGTGGGAGCAAATTACTTTCAACACATTTAAGTTAACGAAATAAAAGCTCCAAATGTGTTTCTCCGGTCATGAAAGAGAGTCACTTTATTATTTGATTGGTTAGGCCTATGTGTTTTTTTTATATTCTCAAATTGTGTGTCCTTTTGTTTTAAGTAATTTACATATTCAAGTCTTTTTTTGAATATGTTGTTGTACTATTGCTGTCATTGAGCTGCTGAAACAATGGAATTTCCCATCTGAGGATCTGGAATACATGTTTATCTTACCTTATCTGTTCATAACTAAGGCCATCAAATAAACGTAGAAGTGGAAGTATAAAGAAGCTTTAAATGAAAATACTCAATTAAAAATAAGATATTATAAACAGGGCTGCACTTAACTGGTGCGCAGGTGCGCATGCGCACCTCCGCCAAAAAAAGAGCACCGGGTCATTTGAAACAAAGCGCATTTGCGTACCAACATTGAGAGAGGGAGAGAGAGAAGGGAAAATAGAGGAGAGAGGAGAGATGAGAGAGAAAGATATTTGCGAGTTGCATACATGTATGAACCATGATATGAACTCAGGGCCGGCCCGTAGCGCTGGCTAGATGTTCGCCTAGGGCGCCAGATCTGGGGAGGTGCTGCGCTGGCAGTTCTGGGAGGGAAAAAAACATTTTGACCGTTGGGGCTCATCCTAATTTTCGGCCTTGATGTAACAATATTCATAATTAAGTAAATGTAACAACCTTTTCACCCCGGTTACACGTTTCATTTGCCCTGTACGATGGGCGCTGTAAGTGATGAAAATGGGGGATGTTGGCTTATCTGGCGCCCGCAGCTCACAGACAAAATGCGAGGGAGAGAGGGAGGGTGCACCGGTACCAGCGCTGTTGTTATTAGAATCTGGTGCCGTGCTAGCTGCTCTAACGGAGATAAGAAGAAGATGTTTCTACAATAATGTGGAGGGAGAGTCCTCCAGTCAGACTGAGAGGCTGATGAGTTAACTACAGCTCAGTGAGGTAAATGACTCTTAGTCTAAATTCAAACGGTTTGGTCACAATTTATGTAAACACATATTTTCAAGGCACTCCTTTGTAATTATTGGGATAAACAGGTTTTAAATCATTCCAATGTATACTATAGGACAGTAACCAAACATATCCTTTAAAACTGGAGAGATTAAAAAAAAAAGCATAAATAAATGTTAAGGTAAATTAGATATGAATGAACAACACAAATAAAATAAGTTACATTAATTTGTTATTGGCTATAGTAGGCTATTGGTTATGTTCACATACTTATTTGATTACATCCACTTTTCTAAAATGACAACAGAGACTTTCGACCCAAACCCAGCTGTTGATTTGTGGAATCAAGCATCTAATCGCAGACTGAACCAGAGAGGAAGTAGTAGGCCTACATCATCAGCTACCATGTCTGACAGAGAGGAAGACAGTGAGGAGAACAGTCAGGAGGGTAGTGATGACAGCTTGTAGGATTACTGGTCGTGCTAATGTTGTCTTGTGTTCACCTCTCCATGTGTGTTCTGTGTTCACCTCTGCATGTGTGTTCAGTGCCGTGTGTCTGGCAAATAAAGTCAAGACCCCTCAAAAGTTACGGTTTATTTCATTTTAAGGATGAGCACCAAGCAACATCTCCAGGTGCTCCTTTGAGAACCAGGGCAAAAAAGTTATGTGCACCCCTGATTATAAAAACCTAATTACTGTAGGAAATGCACAGGTAATAGTTCACATTAAGATAATAATAATAATACAAAACTAACAGTGTAAAAGAAAAAGAAAAGATAACAGCAATTGAGTTATGTGAAACTGTTTAAATATATACATAACGAGTTGTGACAATTATAAATAGATATACATATTATTTGTTTATACCTCTTATGTGAAAGTTCAAAGTACACATACAGTCAATGGTATGTACATAGAAGTCATAGCACAAGTGCAGCACTGCGCCAGACTTATGTTTGCAAAGGCATAGATTCATTTTATAAATCATTTGTGTTTCATTGTCATTGTCATGTCTCATTTTCCTCAGAAACGATAATCTAGTAGTTAATCTAGTTTTCCCGTCACCTCAAAAACACACAAGTTGATGCATGTTTTGCTGCTCTCCAATCACATTACTGTTTACAGTAAAGCCCCGCCCCCGAGCTCCCGCAGGAGCCAATCAGAGAGCTCAGGGGGCGGGGCTTCACTGTATACAGTCATGTGGTTGGAGTGGAGTCATAGAGCAACGGTTTCTCCCGAGATCATATAAATTGTCCCACTGACTCCATCTATTTACTTTCTGTCTCTCCTTTCCTTCAACACAGCGAAAAACACAAAGAAAAGGTAAACAAAAAAGAGACACTGTTGTGTTTGTTTGTAATCCAACTGAGATAAATCCGGCTTGGTTTGTTATTATAATATAATAGATTCATCGCGTTCTTAGCAGTTTTTAAAGTCTGTTTTGCTACCTTGTTGTGCTAAAAATCTAGCTAGGTTTTGGGAATGGGTTAATCACGTGATGTCTTGTTTATGTGTTTTACTGTCAGATAAACAAAATATACAGTATAATAAGAGTGGTGTTAAATAACGCTGTTATTCACCCCACAGAAGGCATGTTGTTCCCCGTGCTGCTGGGCCTGGCTCTCGGGCTGGTCGGTGCCTTCCCCTCCCCGCAGGACGACGCTGCTCCCGGGAAGAACTGGGTGGTGATAGTCGCTGGATCTAACGGCTGGTACAACTACAGACACCAGGTGAGAAAACACGGAAACTGTTCCCTCAATATCACCTTACCAAGTTCAAACCCTGCGTGACTCAATTGTTGTTTGCATAGTCTGCATTGGGTACTGATAAGGTAAAGATAAAGACACTTCCTCTTCACAATGCTTTCTGTGCAGCTGACTTTTACTTTTTATTATTAAAAACATGTTTCTATAGATTTTTAGAAGATGCATTGTTTCCAGTGCTGGGAGTGTGGACTACATGTTATTTAACTAGTAATGCAACTACAATTTCAGAAGCTTGCTGGTAGTTCAGCTAAATTCATCTAAACATGAAATAGTTAAATTACATCTCTTTTGAATAGGTCAAACTACAAGCAAGTACACAATTAGAAATATCTGTTTCGTTTTCGAGCTTGTAAAGCTGTCTAAATCAATTAGAATAAAATAAAAGTTGGTTAAAACATGAACACACTGTAATATATAACGTGTGTTACAATAAAGTGGTTAAAAAGGTGCAAGTTGAATATGAATTTGTTATGAGAAGTTAAAGAAACTGCCGCGTCAGACTAAAGGAGCTTTATTTAGACCATGCCTTAAATTGGTCACAAGGTCTAAAACTGTGTGAAATATATTCTTACTGGGTAATTCAGTTTTTTTGTTTAAGTGTGATATGTGAACAAGCGGGCCCTATTTTATCAAACTCATTTAAGTAGAATTTATTGCTTGCATGTGTCTTTTCTATATTATATTTTGTCGTAAATTGGTATCACATGTTCTTTTTTATATGCTTTCAAAGAACACCGCAAGTCATTAAATAGATGTTAAACCACCCAGACCCCCTCCCTAAGAGATAAGGAAGATTAGGATAGCACACAGACGGTGTTATTACAGATATCATTGTACGACAATACAGCTTTCTCAAAAGATTCTAAGGAAGAATTCTATCGTCTATGTTAACTTTTCTTTTTTTAAACTTATTTACTGGCTTTTTCAGACATAAAACAGTTACATGAGAGTATACAGGATTGCAAATGCAGGTACTGTAAAAAGAAAATATAACAGCAATTGAGTTATGTGAAACCTCAAAAACACACAAGCTGATGCATGTTTTGCTGCTCTCCAACCACATGACTGTATACAGTGAAGCCCCGCCCCCTGAGCTTTTTTTTTACACTTATTTACTGGCTTTTTCAGACATAAAACAGTTACATGAGAGTATACAGGACTGCAAATGCAGGTACTGTAAAAAAAGAAAAGAAAAAAGGGGTGTAACAAAATATAAGGCGCATTCACACCGCAGTACTTTTCCCACAAAGGTTCATCAGAACTTAGTTCATGAGAACTCTTTAGTAAGTGGGAAAAGTACTGCGGTGTGAACGCGCCTATAGAGAAGAGAAACAAAAAACCTAGAGAAAAATATATAAAAAAATTAAGACAGAAACAGAAAACCCCTTAAAGCAGTCCCACCCACTGGGCAATAATCAATATTGTCAGAAAGGATCAAGAGAGATTCAGTTACTTATGCCCTTTAAAGGTGGGGTGGGTAATTCACTTCAGAAACACTTGTTGTTATATCCCTTTAACTGCCGGACCAAGAAAAAAGCTATGGACATTATTATTTTTTGCATTTTCTTATCATATGAGCCACAAATAAGCACAAACAATTTTTATTTTTTTTGACTGACCACATGAGCCTCTACCAAATGGTCGAGCTGGCCTTCTATGGTAAAAGTACATTTTCAACAATCATCATATACAGTACAGTATTTGTATGCATCAAACTCAAAGAAAACACAAACTCAAATACATTTGTTTCTTTTATGGAAAATGAGCAATATATACAACCAGATATATTCATAAAAGATAATAAATTATAATTGTAAAATGGAGAAAAGTAATGTAAAGTGTTTTTCATGATAAAAAAAAGACTTGCTCATCTTACTGTATATGCTGAATTGGCCTTACAGGAAACCACTGGCCTAACAGCAAATGTCTATATCCTGTGTTGGCCTAACTTGCTCATCTGTGTGCAACTTTGGGCTGAATGCCATGCATGAAAGGTGCTATATAAATGATTATCACTCCTTCACTCTGAGACTCATAGGCAGTACTAGATTTAGTAATATTACCATGAATCTAGCCATTTATTTACCATATTTTATTGGAAAACATCACTGAAACTCTGACAAGGCATATTGCTAGCTTACCGTAAAAGGCCATTTCGACCGATTGGTTGAGCATATTTTCAAAAAAATAATTACACCCTTGTTAAAACTTTTTTTGTGCATCAAGTTATCTAATTATGTTCAGTCAGTGCCCTGCCACTAAAATATGTCAAAAAGGATATGGTTGCCTTACAAAAGTTGACCAAAAAGAGTGATTTCTTCAGCAGTGATTTTTAGCATTGCCAACTTTTTCAGTTGAAGCTAGCTGAAGGGCTTTCTGTTCGAACCGCAGTGACATCTAGAGGTTGTTTTGTGCATAACATGTCAACCAAAGGGTAGAGCTGGCTGAATCAGATGGAGTTCAACTTTTTTTCAACAAGATATCAAGACACAAAATGTGCTCTACCAAATGGTGGTGCTGGCAGTTAAAGGGATATTCCATGGAATGCTCTTAACATCCCGATAGCAATAAATACATAACAATATTTCATCTGTGGAAGCCGTGGCGCTGTAAAAAGCACGACCAATCATCTGAGCCGGCTAAAGTAACTGGATGGCCTACCTGCCTGTCAGCCTTCCATCTGTGCACAAACTTATCTCGTGTTCGTGTGTGTTGGAGGAGGGGCTCTGTAAGGAAGTCTGAAGGAAGGGGCAGATGTTTTCCGGTTGTGTACTTTCAAATTCTAGCGCACTCGAGCTGGTTTCTCCATTCTTACCTACCCTACCTTTAATTGATTTTAAGGAGCTGTATACATATGGAACAAACCAAACAACAGACAAACAATAACAAACCAATTAACCAAAGAAAAAATGAATGTTTGCACGTTAAAATCTGTTAACATGACATATTTAACCCTTTAGAAAATTCACCGTTATCTGCAGAAAACTCTTCATACTTTCTTTATTCCCTGACCCTCAGGCCGATGCGTGCCACGCGTACCAGATCGTGCACAAGAACGGCATCCCGGACGAGCAGATCGTGATGATGATGTACGATGACTTGGCCAAAAATGAGAAGTGAGTCGGCAGTTTTCAGTTTCTCTGATAAAGAGACTTCTTCTTTCCACTGAAATTATCAAAAAAACGCATTTTATTTTAGAGGCTTCAGTTGTTATGCAAGTTCTTAAAAAAGCCACTTAATGTCAGCATCTGATATATTTAACACGGCTATTTAACACGGCTATTTAACACGGCTATTTAACACGGCTGCTAAATGTGACATAAAACCATAAAACACACATTTTCTGTTTTATAAATGTAATGCACGCTGTATCGCATGTTTCAACTAAATGATCATTTTTAGGATTTTAACACCTAACGTTGCTTGTTATAGATGAGAGTAACAAATGCGTCACTTCCGGGCAAAAATAACGGCTCCGCCCACTTTTGGGGGAAAACAACGCTGTCAGTTGGTCAATACAAATTCTGAAGTTTTTGCCAATCCGATAAAAAAAAATTGAAAACCGTGGATTTTCTGATCTTCAAAGAGCTCGATCACGATGGCCAGTCAGGCAAACAATTACATTCGATCATTGGAAATCGACAATCGGTCTCGATATATGGTTACATTAAAATCAATAGGCGAGGCTGTAATTTCTCCAGCTGTTACTCTCATGAGCGAGGCGGAACATAATAGTTTTAAAATGCCAAAAAGCTGCTGTGTCGTTTATTGCACCTCAAACATAAAAAATAATCAAGAGTTCAGTGTTTCTGAACTTCCTCTAAGAAGAAAGGACGGAAACAGAAGAGCTCTGTGGCTTCAGGCTCGATCGCCATTCAAATGACAGCGTTGTTTCCCCCAAAAGTGGGCGGGGCCGTAAAGTGACATAGATGTTACTCTCATCTATGGACATCGATCGCCTACTGCTATATTTAACCATATATCGAGCCCGATCGTCGATTTCTAATGGCTTAATGCAATTGTTTGCCTGTCTGGCCATCGTGATCGGGCTCTTTGAAGAACCAAAAGTCTCCGGTTTTCTTACATTTCTGATCGGATTGGCAAAAACTTCAGAATCTGTATTGACCGCCGTTCAACTGACAACGTTGTTTTCCCCCAAAAGTGGGCGGAGCCGTTATTTTGCCCGGAAGTGACGCATTTGTTACTCTCATCTATCAATGTCACCATATTAAGATTGAAAGTGCCTTAAAGGTCCCATGTCATGCTTTTCTGGCTAGTACCCGTCCCCTTGTGTTATGAAGGTTGTTCTGCATGTAAACGGTCTGCAGTCACAAACCCTCAAAGTACACCCTGTAGCGAGTAAAACTCTAACACAGAAAAGACCTGTCTGTGCTGCCCCAGAACGCCTCGTTGGACATTTTCTTTTTCTTCCTGGGTACAGTGACGTGCCCATACCCAAATGGACCCATTGCTCCAATCCGTGGAGCTCCTCACACACACACACTCTCTCAGCGGCGAAACTGTGATGCCATAACATTTCCAAACACTGTAGATATTTTTCAGAGATAATAATAATGTAAAAAATCCCAAATTAATAGTTTTTAGCCAAGAGAATTTTTGAAGATGAAGTCACTTGTAAAAAAGCGTTTTAATATTTAATTCCTTGTGTTACTTTTTTCTATATTTCCTGTTTACAAGGAAATGTTTCGTTTGCAAGTCTTTATAGAGCACCCTATACATACCAGCGTTAAACTGGTCGCATGTCAGCCATCAGTGGTTCATTGTCAAAGTGTCAGCAGAACTCAGGCCGAGTTAAAGAGAGTCACAAGGAACTTTGACTTGAGTTAAATGACTGACTGGTGGGTGACTGAGTATAAAAGCACACAGTGTGACGTACAGTAAGACTCAGCAGTGTTTCACTGAACACTGATCAGGAGGACTTGTTTACTCTTCATATTTTACTGACTTTGCTGCTGTGTGTTATAAAAACCTGCTGGAATGTATGAAGAAATGTGTTGTTTGTCTCTAGACCCAGGCTTAAAGAGTCCTCTCCTGCTGATGTCCAGGTGTATATCAGTATGTAGTGTTTCTACTTTAAAGAGTCCTCTCCTGCTGATGTTCAGGTGTATATCAGTATGTAGTGTCTCTACTTTAAAGAGTCCTCGTCTGCTGATGTTCAGGTGTATATCAGTATGTAGTGTCTCTACTTTAAAGAGTCCTCTCCTGCTGATGTTCAGGTGTATATCAGTATGTAGTGTCTCTACTTTAAAGAGTCCTCGTCTGCTGATGTTCAGGTGTATATCAGTATGTAGTGTCTCTACTTTAAAGAGTCCTCTCCTGCTGATCAGTATGTAGTGCCTCTACTTTAAAGAGTCCTCTCCTGCTGATGTTCAGGTGTATATCAGTATGTAGTGTCTCTACTTTAAAGAGTCCTCTCCTGCTGATGTTCAGGTGTATATCAGTATGTAGTGTCTCTACTTTAAAGAGTCCTCTCCTGCTGATGTTCAGGTGTATATCAGTATGTAGTGTCTCTACTTTAAAGAGTCCTCTCCTGCTGATGTTCAGGTGTATATCAGTATGTAGTGTCTCTACTTTAAAGAGTCCTCTCCTGCTGATGTTCAGGTGTATATCAGTATGTAGTGTCTCTACTTTAAAGAGTCCTCTCCTGCTGATGTTCAGGTGTATATCAGTATGTAGTGTCTCTACTTTAAAGAGTCCTCTCCTGCTGATGTTCAGGTGTATATCAGTATGTAGTGTCTCTACTTTAAAGAGTCCTCTCCTGCTGATGTTCAGGTGTATATCAGTATGTAGTGTCTCTACTTTAAGAGTCCTCTCCTGCTGATGTTCAGGTGTATATCAGTATGTAGTGTCTCTACTTTAAAGAGTCCTCTCCTGCTGATGTTCAGGTGTATATCAGTATGTAGTGTCTCTACTTTAAAGAGTCCTCTCCTGCTGATGTTCAGGTGTATATCAGTATGTAGTGTCTCTACTTTAAAGAGTCCTCTCCTGCTGATGTCCAGGTGTATATCAGTATTTAGTGTCTCTACTTTAAAGAGTCCTCTCCTGCTGATGTTCAGGTGTATATCAGTATGTAGTGTCTCTACTTTAAAGAGTCCTCTCCTGCTGATGTTCAGGTGTATATCAGTATGTAGTGTCTCTACTTTAAAGAGTCCTCTCCTGCTGATGTTCAGGTGTATATCAGTGTATAGTGTCTCTACTTTAAAGAGTCCTCTCCTGCTGATGTTCAGGTGTATATCAGTATGTAGTGTCTCTACTTTAAAGAGTCCTCTCCTGCTGATGTTCAGGTGTATATCAGTATGTAGTGTCTCTACTTTAAAGAGTCCTCTCCTGCTGATGTTCAGGTGTATATCAGTATGTAGTGTCTCTACTTTAAAGAGTCCTCTCCTGCTGATGTTCAGGTGTATATCAGTATGTAGTGTCTCTACTTTAAAGAGTCCTCTCCTGCTGATGTTCAGGTGTATATCAGTATGTAGTGTCTCTACTTTAAAGAGTCCTCTCCTGCTGATGTTCAGGTGTATATCAGTATGTAGTGTCCTCTACTTTAAAGAGTCCTCTCCTGCTGATGTTCAGGTGTATATCAGTATGTAGTGTCTCTACTTTAAAGAGTCCTCTCCTGCTGATGTCCAGGTGTATATCAGTATTTAGTGTCTCTACTTTAAAGAGTCCTCTCCTGCTGATGTTCAGGTGTATATCAGTATGTAGTGTCTCTACTTTAAAGAGTCCTCTCCTGCTGATGTTCAGGTGTATATCAGTATGTAGTGTCTCTACTTTAAAGAGTCCTCTCCTGCTGATGTTCAGGTGTATATCAGTGTATAGTGTCTCTACTTTAAAGAGTCCTCTCCTGCTGATGTTCAGGTGTATATCAGTATGTAGTGTCTCTACTTTAAAGAGTCCTCTCCTGCTGATGTTCAGGTGTATATCAGTATGTAGTGTCTCTACTTTAAAGAGTCCTCTCCTGCTGATGTTCAGGTGTTTATCAGTATGTAGTGTCTCTACTTTAAAGAGTCCTCTCCTGCTGATGTTCAGGTGTATATCAGTATGTAGTGTCTCTACTTTAAAGAGTCCTCTCCTGCTGATGTTCAGGTGTATATCAGTATGTAGTGTCTCTACTTTAAAGAGTCCTCTCCTGCTGATGTTCAGGTGTTTATCAGTATGTAGTGTCTCTACTTTAAAGAGTCCTCTCCTGCTGATGTTCTGGTGTATATCAGTATGTAGTGTCTCTACTTTAAAGAGTCCTCTCCTGCTGATGTTCAGGTGTATATCAGTATGTAGTGTCTCTACTTTAAAGAGTCCTCTCCTGCTGATGTTCAGGTGTTCGATAGTGATTCACCAAAACCTAGAGAACACACTACAGGGAAGGGAAAACCATGATATGGAGATGTAGTGATTTGTTGTTCCCTTGTTACTAACTATCTATTATGTGAAGTTTGCAGCTTTTCTCACACACTAAGTCTTTGTTGTTGTTGAGCGTTCCTGCCAGGTTCTGCCTCTGATATGTCGACAGGCAGCAGTTGAATGATTCACTGATCAGGTGGTGGTGTGTTCTCAGCTGGTTTCACTTCCTCCTGCTCATCTGACTCTTTTATTCCGCAGTAACCCCACGCCGGGGATCCTGATCAACCGGCCCAATGGCACTGATGTGTACAAGGGAGTTCCTAAAGACTACATCGGGGACGTGAGTGCAAACATCAGAATCAGAGCTCCTGAAAACGTGTTTGCATTGATAGATTGTATGACCTTTCTGATATGCTGTTCTCCTGCAGGATGTGACCCCACAGAACTTCCTAGCCGTGCTGAAGGGCGACTCCTCCAACGTGAAAGGAGGATCTGGAAAAGTGCTGAAGAGGCAAGTGTCATGGAAAACCTGGAAACATTTAAAAAAAATTGTTTACATGCCTGAAAAATTCTCCATCCAGAAATATATTGATACAGACACACACCATTCATGTGTTTCTGTCGACTGTAGTATCAGTGTTTTCTGCATGCATTACAGAAGGTAGTATTTCTCATACTGTAGGTTGTGAGTGGTCCTGGGAATTTGTATTGAAGTTCCTTTGAAAGTCATGAAAAATATTTGAATTTGTGCTTTAAAAGAGAAGTAATAATAATAATTTCAATTTATATAGCACCTTTCACGAAACCCAAGGACGCTTTACAATGGGAAGTAACAAAACAAAAAGTAATAATAAAGATACATAGGCTGAAGAAAACAAAAACAGGAACAGGTTGCTGAGTACTGTATATTAGTTGAGGCCAAAGGCCTGAGTGAACAGATGGTGTTTGAGGTGTTTTTTGAAGGTGTCCAGAGTGTCTGCATTCCTGATTGCACAGGGGAGAGAGTTCCAGAGGGTGGGGGCTGCGACACTGAAGGCTCTGTTGCCAAATGTTTTCAGCTTGGAGCGCTGGATGGAGAGCAGCCCTTTGTCAGAGGACCGCAGGTGACGAGAGGGGGTGTAGGGCTGAAGGAGGTCAGAGATGTATGGAGGGGCTAGGGAGTGGAGAGATTTGTAAGTTAGCAGGAGGAGTTTGTACTGGATGCGTGACTTGACCGGGAGCCAGTGAAGGTGGATGAGGGTAGGGGTGATGTGTTGCCAGGGCTTAGTGTGGGTGAGGAGCCTGGCTGCAGAGTTCTGGACGTACTGGAGCCTGTCCAGGGCTTTGCTGGTGACCCCGAACAGAACTCCATTGCAGTAGTCCAGACGAGAAGAGATGAAGGTATGAATTAATGTTTCTGCAACGGGGTCGGGGAGAGAGGGCCGGAGTCTGGAGATGTTTCGTAGGTGAAAGAAAGCAGTTTTGACAGTAGATCTGATGTGGGAGTTGAAGGTGAGGCTGGAGTCCAGAGTGACTCAAGTCACTCTTTGAAGAGATGATAAGGCATCAGGAGGACAATGCACAAATTCCGGTTCATCCCGATAACATGTGTAAGGGAAACTTCTGCAGCAATGGAGAGTCAGGACTCAGAGAGACACGAGGAGAGTTGGAGCTTTGATGTCAAACAATGATAGTTTATTACAAGTATAACGGCCGGAGAATTCATATCACAAGTCACAGCAGCAAAAGGTTCTGACTGCACGGGTGGGTTGTCATGTCAATTCTGCCCAGCCTCTCTCTCGATAGACCTTTTAATTAGTTTACAGAGAGTTAATGAGCATATTGGGGGATGGGGCGTTAACACCTGGGAACACTGAAGATATCCCCCAACTGGAAATACTCAATCACTTGTCAGTGGTGTTTAGAAGCCAGCGTTCTCACAGTCGTAAACCCCCCTATCAGGCCATAAAACTGACACATAAGTGTTGGAGCACATTCCTTAAAGGAGATAACAGAATATTGGTTGGTTATTAACGTCAACAGGCAATAAGGTTAAATATCTAGGAGTAAAGACAGAATTATTCCCTCACAACATGTACTGACTTCTCTCGGTCTCTTTGTTTTGGCAGCGGTCCCAACGATCATGTGTTCGTGTACTTCACTGACCACGGAGCGCCGGCTATCCTGGCTTTCCCCAACGATGACGTGAGCACTTTTCCACTTCCGGTTTCTGCTAATGTTCACTCAGCTTAAAGGTCACCTATTATGCAAAATCCTCTTCTCCATTTCTCTTCTACATCAACATGTGTCCCCTCTTCTTCTTGTCTCTTCTACATCAACATGTGTCCGCTCTTCTTCATGTCTATTCTACATCAACATGTGTCCCCTCTTCTTCATGTCTATTCTACATCAACATGTGTCCCCTCTTCTTCATGTCTCTTCTACATCAACATGTGTCCCCTCTTCTTCATGTCTCTTCTACATCAACATGTGTCCCCTCTTCTTCATGTCTCTTCTACATCAACATGTGTCCCCTCTTCTTCATGTCTCTTCTACATCAACATGTGTCCCCTCTTCTTCATTTCTCTTCTACATCAACATGTGTCCCCTCTTCTTCATGTCTCTTCTACATCAACATGTGTCCCCTCTTCTTCATGTCTCTTCTACATCAACATGTGTCCCCTCTTCTTCATGTCTCTTCTACATCAACATGTGTCCCCTCCTTCTCCATGTCTCTTCTACATCAACATGTGTCCCCTCTTCTTCATTTCTCTTCTACATCAACATGTGTCCCCTCTTCTTCATGTCTCTTCTACATCAACATGTGTCCCCTCTTCTTCATTTCTCTTCTACATCAACATGTGTCCCCTCTTCTTCATGTCTCTTCTACATCAACATATGTCCCCTCTTCTTCATGTCTCTTCTACATCAACATGTGTCCCCTCTTCTCCATGTCTCTTCTACATCAACATGTGTCCCCTCTTCTTTATTTCTCTTCTACATCAACATGTGTCCCCTCTTCTTCATGTCTCTTCTACATCAACATCTGTCCCCTCTTCTCCATGTCTCTTCTACATCAACATGTGTCCCCTCTTCTCCATGTCTCTTCTACATCAACATGTGTCCCCTCTTCTTTATTTCTCTTCTACATCAACATGTGTCCCCTCTTCTTCATGTCTCTTCTACATCAACATGTGTCCCCTCTTCTTCATGTCTCTTCTACATCAACATGTGTCCCCTCTTCTCCATGTCTCTTCTACATCAACATGTGTCCCCTCTTCTTCATGTCTCTTCTACATCAACATGTGTCCCCTCTTCTCCATGTCTCTTCTACATCAACATGTGTCCCCCTCTTCTTCATGTCTCTTCTACATCAACATGTGTCCCCTCTTCTTCATGTCTCTTCTACATCAACATGTGTCCCCTCTTCTCCATGTCTCTTCTACATCAACATGTGTCCCCTCTTCTTCATGTCTCTTTTACATCAACATGTGTCCCCTCTTCTCCATGTCTCTTCTACATCAACATGTGTCCCCTCTTCTTCATGTCTCTTCTACATCAACATGTGTGCCCTCTTCTTCATGTCTCTTCTACATCAACATGTGTCCCCTCTTCTTCATGTCTCTTCTACATCAACATGTGTCCCCTCTTCTCCATGTCTCTTTTACATCAACATGTGTCCTCTCTTCTTCATGTCTCTTCTACATCAACATGTGTCCCCTCTTCTTCATGTCTCTTCTACATCAACATGTGTCCCCTCTTCTTCATGTCTCTTCTACATCAACATGTGTCCCCTCTTCTTCCTGTCTCTTCTACATCAACATGTGTCCCCTCTTCTTCCTGTCTCTTCTACATCAACATGTGTCCCCTCTTCTTCATGTCTCTTCTACATCAACATGTGTCCCCTCTTCCTCATGTCTCTTCTACATCAACATGTGTCCCCTCTTCTCCATGTCTCTTCTACATCAACATGTGTCCCCTCTTCCTCATGTCTCTTCTACATCAACATGTGTCCCCTCTTCTCCATGTCTCTTCTACATCAACATGTGTCCCCTCTTCTTCATGTCTCTTCTACAAAAAAAGATTCTCTCTCTTTTTGTCCTGATCCTTTTCTATAAAAACCTGTCTGAAAATGAGCTGATCAGATGTTGGTCACTTTATGATGTCATAACGATGTTTTGTCTTGTGTAACCATTAGCCAATCAGCAACCAAGGTACCATATCACCTGAATCAACTTATCACCTGAATCTAAATCCAAATCTCTCTCAGAGGGGCGTGGGGAGGGGCTCCTTATTTTCATCTAAAGTAACAGACAGAGAATCAGCACTTTGGAAACAGGGCTGAAACAGAGGGGATTATGGGTAATGCTGCAATGATCTGTTTGGTGTTTCGGCCAATCAGAGACAGGCTCTGTATATATCTGAGACCTGTAATATATTGATGAAGAACAGTCTAACAGGAGACTGTAATGTTGTTCAGCTCGTTTCTCTCAGATCATTATCTATGGCAAGGTCTGTCATGTAACGTTTAAATACCTTACTGTGTGGAGACATTCATTTGACATCTGCACAGTTTCTTTTAAATAAACATAACATTATTTAAGATGCAAGAGCCACATCTTTAAAATAAGAATTGAAGGATGTAATCAGATCCTTTTACTCCAAAGAAAAAGCCCAAATACAACACTTTGAAAGTACTTTGTTTAAAATCCCTGCGTTGAGAATGCTACTCAGGTGACGTGTAGATATCTGAGTATAATCAAGGAAATGCTTCATTCTGCGCATTTGAGAAGCTGAAAATGTGAAAAGCTTTGACTTCTTTGGAAATATCATCATCAGTTTCGCTCCGAGCATGGCACAATGTCAGTTGGAAGATCGGTCCATTAGTTTGATCCAGAAGTAAACATTAAATGACCTTGTTATCCTCTCTTTCTCTCCGCAGCTGAGTGCCACAGACCTCCAGGACACCATCAAATACATGCACGAGAACAAGAAATACAAAAAGGTACGCAGCAATAACATTATGACATTGTGTTTCTTTAGATCTACACACTCAGTGGCCGCTTCACTCGGCACGGCTGCACAATTTGGTGCATCACAATACAAGTTTTCTGCTTTTAATTCCACTTGAATTTGTATTTTCTTTGTACTCATAGCCCCCCTAGCATTGGGGTTGTCTAGTGATGGTGTTGTGACGTGCTGAATCAAAACATCCCTCAATCTAGTGTAACGGTTAACGATATATGGACATTTGCTAAAGGTTTGAACTTATTGCAGGGCTGATTCCTTTATGCAGTTCATCTTACAGGTGTATATAATAAAGTGATGTTAATTAGTATGTTAGCACAAGTGAACATTATGCGTGTTGTAAAGGTTTTTTAAAAGCTGTTATGATTTGCTTGTAGTAGTTTTTACAAGATCTTTCTGTTGTATTTCAAAACAGTTCAAACACAAAAGTCCTAAAACTCTGTATTTGCATAGAAACAGTTGTTGGCAGGTATACTTATTTCCTTTCTTTGCTCAGCATTGGATAAGAATATTGAAACCACTCTCAGGTCTGTACGGTAAATATGAACATGCAGCCGTTAGCTTAGCTTAGCACAAAGAATGGTAACGGTAGGAAACAGCTAGCACGGCTCCATCGGAGAGTAACTAAAATCCACCACGTCTTAATCTGTCTCAATGACTTGTTATTATAACGTATTGTTCTTACAGTATAAAGGTCACAGATAAACCCAAGTCATGTGATTGTGACCCTGTGCTTGACATTCACATCATAACTCTTGTTTTTGCCCTTTTCTTTTGCTGACAGATGGTTTTGTACATCGAGGCATGTGAGTCCGGGTCGATGATGACCGACCTGCCTGCTGACATCGACGGTGAGTTCAACTTTGAACCTCATCAGACACTCTCCTGTTAACCTAAGACAGTGGTTCCCAAAGATCTCAGGGGGGGGGGGGGCGCCAGGCCTCAGGTGATTTGAGGCCAAATATCATATTTAGACTTTTTTTTTTTTTTACATATAATTGTAACGCAATACATGACTTGTCTCTACATTACAATAAAATATAAAAAATAATTGATTAATTAATTTGAATAAAAATTCAAGTTAGTATTAAAGGCATAAAAAGACAGAAATGTATAATTCTTTCTTTAATAGAAATGTTTCTTCCGCCCGTAAAGTGTCCTAACCGGGCTTTTCTGGATAAGCGGATGTTTAAAACACAGTCATTGTCCATGCCGGTTTCAGTTGGATTATTTGTCAGTTGCTCCGATCAGATCGGTCTCCTCCATTTTGTAGATTATTTACGACTTTTGAATCCACATAAACACATCGGCAAAATCCGGCTTACTTTGAGCACGTGTTTTAAACAGTTGAATCCCTTCGTGAATTGTTTCCACTTGCGCCGTCCTTTAATTTCTTCATACAGCGGGAATCCAAATGAATTAATCCTGAGTCCAATAACCATCAAAGTCACTCCAATAGTGCTCCTTAATTACACTTTCATCCTCCTTTAACAAAATACTTCACATTCATCCAGTTTGTGACAGTAGTTGTAGCTTTTTGAGACTTTTAAACTGTAATTACCGCTGTTGCACACCCCCTTGTGTGTGTGTGTGGGGGGGGGGGGGCGCAACTTCCAACAGGAGTCATTTGGGGGGGCTCTTTGGAAAAAAGGTTGGGAACCCCTGACCTAAGAGATGATAAAATCTTCATTAATCAATAAAAAAGTGTCGATCCATGAGTTTCCTAATCCTCCGACTACATGAACTTGACCTTTCCTCACATTTTGAAGTCTTAGAGCTCATGTGATTTATGTTCCAGGATAAAGTTCCTGTTTTTAACGTCTACTGTCGTGTCTGTGCTGAGGTTCAGACTCAGGTTTGTGTATTTAAACACTGAGGTCAGCATTATGGTGTGTGGTAATCTGTGAGCAGTGTGCCATATGATGAATATAGCAGGATGTGATTCATGAGTGTCACGTTTTTACATCCCTTTTTTATATAAAACACACTTTCATCCGTACCCTGACAGAGAAGTGAGAATCTGGTGACCCGTTTGTATTTAATTCAGGACAAAGTACGAAGAAAAGGAATAATCTGATAATAGAATAATTTAGAATAATCTGGAAACACTTCATAATAAAAAAAAAGGTTTTTTAATTAAGAGTTAGTAGTAGTTATTTTACTGGCAAACAAACAATTATAAATATTCATGAATAGACGATAACAATTACATTTTAATCAAATAAACTCTTTATGGACACTTAATTATTGTCATAACATCTTATAAACTATAGTAAGTATTTCTTTATGATTACCACATTATTTTTGTATGAATTGTTTGTCAAATAGATAATACACATTACACAGAGAGATGGACCACAACCCAATTATTAACCACTATAACAAATAAGTATTATCTGTGTGTCTTAGTAATGTGTATAGGTGTGTCACAAAGTATTTATTAACAATTGAACACGTTTTTAAATGTATGTTAGTCATCCAAATACTGTTTATACAAATCATTAACAACTAATTAATGTAGAATTTTTTTTAAAAAGTCAGAATATGTGCAACAATAAACCGTTAAAAAAACACAAATTATTACCGTTTTTCACCTGTTTTTAAGTCATAACAATTAAAGAATATTTAAAACAAACTTCTGAAATATTCCCTTTACTGAAACTCACTTAAAAACATTTGCCTGATGACTTTTGTTAGAAAAATCCCTAGTCCCCGGCTTCAGTTTCAACCTCAGGATCCATGTATCTGTGATCCTCTCCAGAATGGAAGGAGTCATCACATACAGAGCATCAGCTAGTTCCTGAACAGTGTCCTTCACATGCTGATATCCAAGAGAGGGAGTTACACAGTCACAAGATGGAGGAATAGAAAGCAGTATTCAATGTTTACTTCAGATTAGCTCCACGTCAGAAATGAGCATGCTTGTCATATGTCTCTCTCCATAGAAGCTGAATCATCATGTTAATCACATAGCTATCATATGCCTCAAACAGTCCTGATGCTCTTCTAGGTAATCACACATCCTGTCATGTTCACAGCTACAGTTGGGATACCTTTGTTACCATGTGGACTCTGATATTGGAAGAGTATTTTCCCAGCAAAGCTCTAACGTCACAAATGAATATTTTGTCCAAGTTAGTCAGTGTGCTCAGGAGTCACAACTTTAATGTGAATCTGTCCAATGCACCTGTCTCTGTGTGTTTGGACCAGCTTCACCTGCTGCTAAATGATAGTTCTCTTCCAAGCTCTTCCTCAGTTTAACCTGAGGACATGTCTGTGTTTCAGTTTACGCCACGACAGCATCTAACTCCCACGAGTCGTCGTACGCTTGCTACTACGACGAGAAGAGGGACACCTACCTGGGAGACTGGTACAGCGTCAACTGGATGGAGGACTCCGACGTGGTGGGTGCTTCTTTGTCAAACTACGCTTTTCATTTTAGGATTATGAGAATAGGTCTGAAACATTGTGTGTGTGATGAAGACAATGTGAGGGGTTTCACAACCAAAGCTTCCCTGTATTTCAGCAGGTGGATAGAAGCTGTAGAGTTTGCATTAACTGTAACTTAGGCCGTGTTTGGAGATGTAAAGTAATCAGGAAGTCTGTGATCAATAAGATCTAATAACTAACAGTAATGAAGCTGAACTGGATGCACACCTTACATATGAAGGCAATTTGAATTCAATGCTACTTTGAAATGTCTCAAAAAGCAGTTTTATTTCACTGTGGCTGAGTGCGGTCGTCTTTGAACCATTACTGTTACTGAACATCATCTCAAAATGTCATTGTTCACACGACACACGAGTGACATTTCATCTGCTTTTAGCTTTTACTATTTAACTGTAGTTCACCTGATTTTACTTTCAAAGGACTGAAATATAAAACTACATTTTTACATCAGATGGATGTAAGGACAGAGCTGGCCTTCCTTACCACTACCAGTCTGTTCAGTCTCTTCCCGTCAGCAGCCGACATGCTGCTGCCCCAGTAGGCCACACCATAGAAAATGGCTGATGCCACAGAGTCATAACATGTCTGAAGGAGGGCCCGCTCCGGCACCCCGAAAGACCTCAGTCTCCTCAGAGGCTACATCAAACTGTGGGAAATAAACAGAGACCGAAGTTACAGTAATACTTATGATTACATTAGATGTAATGATACATTTCTACAACACTATGCAATACCAACTCAGACTATATGAAGTCTGTATTTTCTGGTATCAGAGAGAGAGGAAAAGGAAAAGGAAGTGCAACTCTTAAGTTTCTAACCAGCAGAACAAAACCTGTGTACTTTGCATAAGCACTGAGAGCACCTGCTGCCATTCAATATATAAACTACTCCAAACAGAAGCTTGAACTTCATTAGAAGAAATAGATTCGATTTTAGAAACATTTAGTTTCTTATTTTTCTGAAACTGTTGTTGATGTGTTTGTCTCACTCTGTGTTTCCAGGAGGACCTGAATAAGGAAACTCTGGCGAAGCAGTTTAAGATCGTGAAGAGCCACACCAACACCAGCCACGTGAAGCAGTTCGGAAACAAGGTGAGAGGAAGAGGAGAGAAACACACAAGAGGAGGGGGGATGGGAAGTGAAATACCCCCCATGTGACAGATACTTTATATATTTCTTTATCTGTCGCTGCAGGGTTTGTCTTCCCTTGTTGGGAGAGATGGTAAATAGGTTAAGTACCGTCTTGTTATAATATGTAGATTTCCAGTTGGGAATTACGGCTCTTTGAAGGGAGCCGGATGTTCGGGCTCCGTTCCTTTCCGAGAGCCGTTCAAAAGAGCCGTTTTTTTTTAAGGGGGCGGGGTTACTAGGTTTATCTGCGAAATAATCACCAGGATAATGATTGACTTTATTGCTAGAAATCTACTTTTACTCACAGAAAAAATGTATAACTTGCTACATTTCTCAGTCAGCCAAACTACTACTCAAGCAGCATGCGTTATGCCATCATCTACGGCAGAGGTGGGGAACCTTTTTCCTCTCAAGGGCCATTTCAATGTTTACAATATCCTCAGAGGGCCGTACAAATTATTGACCTCTGCTTAAAAAAACTAAAATCACAGCCCATTCATTTCATTCTGTGCAAAGAAAAAGCAACCTCTTAATCCAGATATCTTACCATGACTCGCGCACGGTGTGGCGTGACCACCCAAACAGAAAGATATGGACACAAGATGTGTGCAAATGTATTTAGTTTCCTATCCATGTGAACATGATTTAAGTGGGGGGGGGGACCTAACCTCCTCTAGGGGGGTCCGGGCCTGCTCCCCCGGGAAGATTTTTTTTTTAAATGTTGAAGTTAAAAGCATCAATCTGGTGCACTTTGAGAGCAAAATTAGGAGATCTATGGATACATCTCTCAACACCCATATGAAACAGAACTGGAAGCAGATTTATTTTTCTTTATGAATATTTGACTAATTCAAACTGTATTCTTCTTTATTAATAACAACTTTTTTTTACTGTCATATAGTATTTTATACCTGTTAAACCTATACATTATTCTCTTATTTTTGTATAACTATAATGATCATATAAAGATGTGCCTTTACCTCACTGGTTGTAGAAAAAGCGTCTTATATTCGTTAGCATAGCTAGCTAACCAGATGCTAATAACAACAAAGTTATTGACTGTATGACAGATGAGCAGATGCCACTGGGCTTTCAACTAAAGACACAGACACGCAGAAACTGCAGCATGTGTACGGCTCCTTATGGGTACTGCAGTTTCTGAAGTGCTGGAGCGGCGTTCTGGTGCTCTCCGTCAGAACTGCACCCTATGTCAGTCGAGACATATACCACGTGATGACACGTTAGGCTCATGTTGTGTTCAAGGACCCTGACCTTGGCCAGGAAAAACAGGCACTCGCTTGTTTAATTTTTTTGCGGTCTAGATTTCTTACATTTTTTTCTTTTTTGCGTGTGTTTATAAATTACATCGAGGGCCACACCAAATTGTCTCGCGGGCCGTATACGGCCCGGAGGCCGGAGGTTCCCCACCCCTGATCTACGGCATTCAGGAAAGCAAGTTCCCGTAAAGGCGAGTGGATTTATGGCAGGCGACGATAACAAAAGAAAGAAGGGCTCTCACCAATTACGACTGGGTTCCCTTTGTTCGTACCAAAGAGCCGTTCAAAAGAATCGGATCGTTCGCGAACGTCACATCACTATTTCCAGTTAATTTCTAGTCACTTTAACCTGAAATATTTTACTGTTTCCAAACATTTGGTAATCATGGCCATGTAGGTTAACTGTGTGTAGCGGCTGTTTACATTACATTGCATTTAGCTTTTATCCAAAGCAACTTACAATAATGGCGCTTTTCCACTGCAGGGCCTCGCTCGGCTTAGTACGGTATGGCTAGGCCTCGTTAGGCCCGGCTCACTTTATGCTGCGTTTCCATTACAGTTTAGGAACTGGGGCAGTAACTATAATAACGCAATGTAGGCGGAGCCGTGACGTCATCTTCAATGAGAACCACAGAAAACCAACATCAGCCGTTAGCTGTTAGCCCTCAGAGCTCACAGCTCCTCATATCTGTTCAGAAACTAGACAGAAGTTAAACAAGTACAAACCACAGACTGCCTGTGTCATGGCGAATACAGTCGCTGGTTTATTTATGTCTGTATAGGCCGTTGTTGTGAGTGTGGACGGTCGGAGCATATATAACGTTAGCTTAGCCGATCTCCATTTAGAAAACACGCATTTTAAAAGGTGTTTCGCCTGCCGTCTGTCTGCAGACTTGTCAAAGCATTAATTCATGGTTTTTACTAACCGGTATCAGTATGTTGTTACTTCGGCATCATTTTGAAACGTGTATTACAATTAAATCACGGTCAAATATGTTCATCTTGTTGTAGTTGCCAGCGATTCTCTCGCTAGTTTAGCATATTCAGCCCGGTTGTTGGCCCGGAAAGAACCTGGATTTTGGAAAGCCAGAAAAACGTACTGATCCATTCACTGTATACTAAAGTACATGTTTAATTAAAAACAAATTAATGAACAGCTCCAACAGTAATGGAGGTTTCCTGCTTTTTTTTTTCAAGTTTCAAGGCTTTTTATTGTCATTCGTGTCATAGCGACAGTGTAGATATGTCGATGGAAATCTGAGGTCACAGGCTCCTCTAACAGTGCAACACAATAAAACAGATAAAATAGTGCAAGTAAATACAATCAAATAGAATAGAAGTAGTGCCATAAGAGTCTATATACAAGTAATATATAATGTGTAAGTTGCAAACAGGTGAATGTTATGGATGTTCTTAGTTCAGGTGTTTAACAGTCTGTTAAACACCTGAACTAAGAACATCCATAACATTTTGAAACTGATCTTGAGTGATTTCCTCCCCTCTTCCCAGACTCTGGGTCACATGAAGGTCATCACCTTCCAGGGGAACTCTAAGTCAGGTGTTCGGCCCGCCCCCCCGATGACTCTGCAGCCAATCGCGGACAGAGACCTGACGCCCAGCCCCGACGTCCCGCTGGCCGTCCTGAGGAGGAAGATGATGAAGAGCAACGACATCCAGGAGGTCCGAGGACTGCTGATGGAGATCAACTCTCACCTGAAGGTACACACACACACACACACACACACACACACACACACACACATACACACACACACACACACACACACACACACACCACACACACACACACACCTCAGATCTGATCCCCCTGCACCTTCATAACAGACGTTCTATAATAACGTGCCATTACGTTTTTTGCACTACTAAATACTGTTAACATTTACTTAAAGGTCACCTATTATGCAAAATCCACTTCTTCATGTCTCTTCTACGTCAACATGTGTCCCCTCTTCTTCATGTCTCTTCTACATCAACATGTGTCCCCTCTTCTTCATGTCTCTTCTACATCAACATGTGTCCCCTCTTCTTCATGTCTCTTCTACAACAACATGTGTCCCCTCTTCTTCATGTCTCTTCTACATCAACATGTGTCCCCTCTTCTTCATGTCTCTTCTACATCAACATGTGTCCCCTCTTCTTCATGTCTCTTCTACATCAACATGTGTCCCCTCTGTGGAAAGAGACTCTGAAAGTTTCAGGAACAAAGATTCTCTCTCTTTTTGATCCATTTCTATAAAAACCTGTCTGAAAATGAGCTGCTCAGATTTTGGCCACTTTATGATGTCATAACGATGTTTTGGCTTGTGTAACCATTAGCCAATCAGCAACCACGGTAACCCCCCCCCCCTCTCTCTCAGAGGGGCGTGGGGAGGGGCTCCTTATTTTCATCTAAAGTAACAGACTGAGAATCAGCTCTTTTGAAACAGGGCTGAAACAGAGGGGATTATGGGATGCTACAATGATCTGTTTGGTGTTTCAGCCAATCAGAGACATGCTCTGTATATATCTGAGACCTGTGATATATTGATGAAAAACAGTATAATAGGGGACCTTTAAATATGTGACCGTCTATGTTTACTTTCCTGTAGATATTTAATTGCTCTTTGGAGCTATTACAGATTTCTGATGGTGTGTGTGTGTGTGTGTGTGTGTGTGTGTGTGTGTGTGTGTGTGTGTGTGTGTGTGTGTGTGTGTGTGTGTGTGTGTGTGTGTGTGTGTGTGTGTGTGTGTGTGTGTGTGTGTGTGTGTGTGTGTGTGTGTGTGGTGAGTGTGTGTGTGTGTGTGTGTGTGTGTGGTGTGTGTGTTGTGTGTGTGTGTGGTGTGTGTGTGGTGTGTGTGTGTGTGTTGTGTGTGTGTGCTGGTGTGTGTGTGTGTGTGTGTGTGTGTGTGTGTGGGTGTGTGTGTGTGTGTGGTGTGTGTGTGTGTGTGCGCAGGTGCAGGAGCTGATGGCGGAGACTATGCGCCAGGTTGGTGGAGGAGGTGACGGGGAACCAGCTGAAGACGGAGGAGGTCCTGAACTCCAGATCTGATCTGACTCAGGCCCGCTGCTACATAAATGCGCTCACACACTACAAACACAACTGCTTCAACTGGCACAAGACGGAGGTACGGCTGCACAGAGAGAGTTATCTCTGCACCAACAATAATAATAATACAAATAATAACAAAGCTTTATTTATATAGCACTTTTCATAAAACACATGCAGCTCAAAGTGCCTTACAAAAATAAACAACAAGAAGTTCCCCTCAGATTGTTTAAGAACTTTAAAAGGTACATGCAGCAACACATTTGATCAGGTTAAGAGACACAAGGAGGTAAAATGTATGATAATAAAAATAAAATAAATAGTTTCTCTCTGACAGACAAGACACGAGACAACTGAGTCGATGCAGAGTTTTATTCTTATTTGCTTTCACCCTACATTGATCGTACCTTAATTTAAATATTTCCCTGCGTACTTTCCCACATCTGTACATTCAGAAAGATGTTTCCTTTCCCTTTTCACTGGAAATATTTGACATTTTGAATGCCACAACCAGGGGGAAATAAACCGTGTTCTTTAACATTTAAAGGGGACCTATCGTGCAAAATGCACTTTTTGATGTCTTTTATACATAAAGATGTGTCCCCGGTGTGTCGGGGAACTCACGCAGCGTCAGAAAATAAAACCCCCTCTCTTTTCCTCCGTACCCAAATCTCTAAAAACGGGGAACAACGGAGCTGATCCAGATTTGCGCCCGATATGACGTAATATCTGAAATGTGGACCCACGGCCCAATCAGAAACTTTGCTATCAGAAACAATGCCCGACATTTTGGACGTAATATGGTCGGTGTTTACATTAGCATCGCTAACTCTCAGAGCTAACCTGTACTGGAGAGCATGTGTGTGAAGAAGCAGGAAGTAAAAAGGAACTCACCTTGTGGTATAACCGGCAAGAGAGAAAGCCTTTGAGCTCCAAACTGTTTCAGAGAGAATCCTTGATAATCCATGATATGGCGTTTCATCACGGCAGCATTTAGTTTAGACAGTAGCTGCCGGGTCCCGCATGAGCTCAGACCCCTCCTTTTTTATTTGTTATCAATTATTTTATTTTTTAAAGCTTTATACACAAATCAGCACTTTTGAAACAGGAAGTGAAATAGAGGGATATGAGGCATGGCTAGAATGGGTGATCTGTTTGGTATTTTGAGCAAAACACTTCATAGACATGTTTTTTATATTTTTTTATATATCTGAGACCTATGCTATTGCCTAAAAATAGCATGATAGGTGACCTTTAAATGTCCATTTATTTCCTCATGTGATGTGTTCCTGTGTTTCAGTTTGAGTACGCTCTGAGACACCTGTACGCTCTGGTGAACCTGTGTGAGAGAGGATACCCTGCAGACAGGTACGCTCCACTAAACACCAAATAAAACGCTTTGTTGTTGGTTTTATACTTTTCTTTTTGAGTCACCAGTAGAGGGTAAGAGGTATGTTCTTCTATGTAAAGATACACAACATTTGAAGAGGAGATACCACATGCAAAATCAACATTCAGGCGATTATTTTACAATTTTTTGCCAACAGATTTCTCCTATATTCACCAGAAGTAATCACTACATAATGCCTAATTTGCGTATTTAAATATAACCTGTCAGAAAACTTGTAATATATTAAATGATTGTCTTAATGTCAGAAATGAAGTGGAGAAGTTTCATGATATCTGTTAGCAAGGAAAAAAAATTCCCTATTCACCTGCAGTGTCTCCCCTTAAGAAGGCAAAGGAAAATGGAATTATTGGTCATTAAAAGTTGAATATTTGATACTGAAATTGTGTTTTTTTGTCTCTCTGCAGCATCCTGCTCGCCATGGACTCTGTGTGTCATTTCAGCAAGCAAAGGGGTTTCTAAAAAATCTTTAAACTGCTTCTTCTCCTTCATGTGGGAGAACCAGAGGAGACGAGCTTCTCTTTGCACTGCTTTACAAATCAATCTGACGTGGAGTCACCGTTTCATCAACACTTATTATTGTGTTTTTACCTTGTGATGTATTTTTGATTTTGCTGAGAACTTTTAAACCTGTTTTATGATGAGTTGCACCATCACTGTGATCAATATTGTGGATATTTTACCCTTTTTAGGACATCAGATAGACAATTATAACATGTTCATTTGCTCTTAGTTTTATATGTGGTATGGACGGCCTGAAATGAATGGATGATTGGCATGTGGACGACGTCCCGCTGAACACTGAATGTTTGCTGAACCTCAAGAGACTGTTGTAAACACTGAGATCTTGAAATAAAATCTGCAAAAAAGTCACTCGTATTTCCACAATTTCTTTCCCTCTGTGGACATGCAATGCCTGCTGTTATTATCCCATATTGTCAAAATTACGCTAGTATTTCACATTGTGGTATTCGTCACACATTAGCAGTAGCTAGTCTTCAGAAAAGGGATTGTATGGTGTTCAAATAAATCTACCGTAGACAGTTACACATCCTCTACCGTTAACCACCGTCAGCTTTATGAGGATTGTGGATCCCTGAGAGCTTCATGGTGTATTTAACAGGATATATCTTTCTTTGGGAGGGATTTTTAAGCATATTTAATGTCAGATCCATGAGGGAATTAAATGAAATCCCATTTATCCCTTCCCTTTTAGACGGTATGAGGGCTTTTTTAAATTCTGCTCATTTAATGGGATTTTTTACATGCAAAATCAGAAAGAATACACACAGTTTGAAATGACACAGAATATTTAGCAAAATGATTAACCTGCCTAGTGTTCCCTATTGCAATAGTGAGAAGATGAATACATAATAAATAAGAGTAATATGTAATTAATAATAAAGTTTTTTTTCATTTGAAACATCTCACCATAACCAGATCACTCTGAGTGACTCCATGTGAAATTATGAAAGTGCGCCATCTAGTGGCACATGTCTGACTTACAACTAAGTATTGTGCAGCTTTATATTTCCACATATGTATATATTTAATAGGCGTAGTTATGTATTTATTTGAAGAGGAACGAAATAATCTTCAAAAGCAGTTGTGTGTGAAGGCTGTGCTGTTACGGTTGAAACGGTCACCTGAGCAGAATGGTTCCCCCTCGTTCAGCTAACTTTTCTTTAGCTTGCCTGACGGATATTAATACCATTTTATATCTTTTTCTTGTTGTATTATTTTGAAACCGTAATTATTTGCTTTATTTTAGATTGAAATATAGTTTTAAATAAGATTTAAGCATCACATTTCAACCAGGCAGAAAAATCCGCTACCTTTCCCCGCGGACCCTGCTGTGACAGGGGAGGCGGCCTCCTTTAGTTCCAGCCCACCATGGATGTATAAAGCCCGTAAAACAGGAAGAAAACCCGGACGAAACTCAAAACCCCTCCTCGTAGTATCAATACACGACAGACTATTGAAAATATTTACTATAAAAAACTAAATATCTCAGAGAAACAGCGTCTCGAGGACAGAAAACAGCCGTTTGGATTCCAACTGAAGCTCTAACGGCTGTTAGCGTCGTTAGCTTGTTTGCTAACTCTAACATAAATCCTGGTTGAGATTCTTCTACAGCTGGATTGATTTTTGGATTAAAAGACTCCTTTTAACTTTCACCATGGGATCCAGAGCCTCTACGTTACTCAGAGAAGAGGAGATTGAAGAGATAAAGAAGGAGACAGGCTGTAAGTTTATTTCTGTGTGACATTAGCTTTATATGTGTTGCTTTTAAAAGCTAACATTCTTTCAGTAAAATCACATAACAATTTGGGAAAAAACTATAAAGATATCATACGAGCAGAGTAAACAAAATACGCAAAACAGTGAATTTGTATCAATAATAAAGGATATATATCTATATAGTACATGTATTGAATACACAATATAAATATATACAGAATAGAAGGCAGTGTACATCATGCTTGTCCAGCCCATGTCCAGCCTATCAACCTCCTATTATGTAAACATTGAATTCACTTTACATTTGAGTTAGAAGAATAAATTACGGTTTTAAGTTACATTTTAAATACTCAAGGGACCACCTGAAAACAATATATATATATATATATATATATACAAATGAGTGAATACTAAAAAGGAAGTTGCCCTAATTGCATTTATCGCCTGACTCATTGTCATTGCACACATACACACTCTTGTGTAATGAGCTCCAGTATTTAGGTGACAAGTGGTTTTAGCTTTATCGTCTTTAGACATTAGCTTTATACACACATTGTGACATAAAGTATCTGTAGTACATTTCTGCAGCTTAGTGAGATTGTATATTGTAGAGTATTCCATTTATTCAATATTGTTGTTATATTGTTTGTTATTTAGGTGCTCTAGTTCTTTTGTGAATATGCACATGTTGCTAATGCCAGATTATTGTCTGTCTGTCTGTCTGTCTCTCTCTCTCTCTCTCTCTCTCTCTCTCTCTCTCTCTCTCTCTCTCTCTCTCTCTCTCTCTCCAGCTAAAAACATATTGCACACGTACAAACTCTTAAAAAGACTACTTGGAGAGTGAAATTAGTTTTGCCTGAAGCACTGGAAACCTGTTATCTTGGTGTCTTATGGTGGTTGACTCCCCCCCTCTCTCTCTGGTGTCCCCCCCTCAGTCTCCCACAGTCAGATCACCCGTCTGTACAGCCGCTTCACCAGCCTGGAATAAGGAGAGGGAGAACGGCACCCTCAGGTAAGCATCACAAAAGAGATAAAACACCTTAAAACCAGACGTGTTGTGGCTGATTAGTTGGGCCTGGAGACAAGGTATCTTCAAATCAAATCAACATTTATTATAGCCCGAACACAAGAAGTGCCTCCAAGGGCTGTACAAAGCAAACGAAAGCAAAGACAAACGTCATAGCAAAACAATTATACAACATATCCATCAACATAAGTATTGCCATGTAATAAAAGCATGTGATTGATGTTGGAGGACAGATGTTAAAAGACATGTGGGAACATCTCTGCATGTTGGTATGGCTATGAATGAAATACATCTGGCTATGAAATAGAGAAATATGCTATGAAAGAAATCCAGAAAAACAAGGCAACACATATTATATATAAATGAGTGGGTAAAGTAAAACATTTCGTCAGTAAAATCTTGTGGGAGGTTTTAAATCAGGGGGTCCGCGGGGTCTTAAAAAGTATTAAAAGTTGATAAATCAATTTAGCGGAAATGAAGGCTATTAAAAGTATTAAACTGCATTTCCCAAGGTGTTACATTTTGTAGCTTGTTTTCAATAAGTATATAAATGGTCCAAAGAGGTTGTATTCTACAGTCTGCCTGAATGTAATCATTGCGTAGGTGTGTAGTGTGATTCTGTGTAGTTTATTGATGGCATCCCGTTGGATTGGACGTCATCTGAACAGGACATCGCACGCTCACTGCTTGATAGCGCGAAGGTCCGTTTACGCCGGTTCCTAAGCAACATCGTTATTGGGAAATGCAAGTCTGCGTCCAAATGGTTGGAAGAAAAGGAAGAAGGACAATCAATACTGTATATAGTCAATGTGAGGTAAAGTGTGTCGCCAAGGTAACCGGTTAAAACTCAAAGTGGCCATGAGGTCTTAAAATGTATGGAAAGGGTCTTAAAAAGGGTCTTAAAAGGTTTTACATTTGACTTCAGGATTCCTGCATACACCCTGTAAATTGAACTCTCCTGGAATAAATATAGGTAGGAAAACATATTTTTCTATTCATCCTAAAATAAATAAATAAACTAGAAAATACATTATTAATTCAATATAAATATAAAAGTCATTCGTTATAGTGTTATATATATATTAAAAATAAAAACGTGTGGTAAATCCTCCTTAAAGAAATACAATGACTTATTTGGCAGGTTTATTGAACCATATTGACTTTTCTTTCTTTCTGTTTGTTGTGTTTGTTTGTTGTAAAACATCCTCTTTCATTGGTTGCCTACCATTTTTTTAAGCCCTTCATTTTGTGACTTGCTGCTTTATGAATTGTCTTTAAATGGGGGGCTGTGGCGCAGTGGGTAGTGCGTTGGTGTTTGGATCACAGGTTCAAACCCCACTGCAGTCAGCATGTCGTTGTGTCCCTGAGACACTTCACCCCAAAGTGCTCCTGTGGGGATCGTCCACAGTGTTGAGTAAGTAAGTCGCTTTGGATCAAAACAACATGTAAATGAAATGCCTGCAGGGTCTTCATTCCCTTTATTGGCTCTGTCTGTCAACATCAGGTACAGAGACATGTGATGTTCATATAATAAAAGAACAGAGGAATGACTCAAATTAAGCAGAACCAAAACATTATATTTACTACAAAATAAAAAGCTTTAATGTTTTATTAGGTTTGACTTATTTAGGCTTTATTTCATGTGTTTGCTTCATGTTATCCTACCTATTGTTTTGTATTCATCTGCACTGTCCTTTAGCTGTTCCCGGCTGTGGGACCAATACAAGATTTGTGATTCTAAAAAAACCGGGTTTCATTAAATGAGTGTTATATGTAAATAGAAATGCAACAGTGCAGTGATTGAATCGGATAAGATCAGCCATAGTGTGACTCACTCTCAGATTCGGGATTGATAATTCAATCTTTATCTTATTATCTGAGAACTTTTTTGTAGTATTCAGTCGGGACCTCAGTGCGACATTTCTGTGGTTTGTGATTAACTTCCTGCTCTATCTGGAGTTTGGAAAGAAACAGCAATAGGTGAAGAAACAGGTAATCATTAAAGCTGCCAACACATTACTTCGCTGTTGCACAGACTTTAGGCTTTTCCATATTTACAGATCAGTGTCAAATAAAACGACATCCCTTACAGGAACTCACTCCTGTGAACACGTTCTGTTTACACATAACACGCTCTTGGTGCTGCTTGTTCTCCCGTATTTTCCGTCGCAGGTACATTATTCTCAAGGTGACTTTCTTATCGTTCATTAGTTGCCAAAACACACGGCCGATGGACCAACAGGGTTCACACACAGTTTGAAAATGTAATGACATTTCAACGGTTGTGCTTTTTAATGAGCTTGTAGTTGAATACACTCCTTGAAGAACGCTTGGTTTTAAATATAATCCGTTGTTTTTATTTACACAAATGTCCCTTACATGTAGAAAACGGTCTATTTGTTTGTTGTCTCCTGGCATCTCTCACCAGACGCGAGCTAAGCATTAAAGGTCCCATGTCACGGCCATTTCTACTGATCATAATTCCATTGTTGAGGTCGACTAGAATAGATTTACATTGTTCAATGTTCCAAACTCACATTGGTTTCTCACAGCGTCTCTGTATAGTATTCACTCTCTGTCCTAAACGGCTTGCTGGAGCTCCTCT